GGAGAGTAGATGAGAGTAGATTGACTTGGGAGAGACACGTCCGCTCAGTAGGCTGACCAGGTCCCAAGTGAGGTCTTAGCAGGAATCAGGCCAGAAGACAGAGATAGAGCGCGTCCATTAGCTAGGTCGGCCTGTGATTGGTTGGACACCGTGCGGGTGTACAGTGTGTGAGTGGATAGCGTACGGCTCGACACCGTTGTTGGCTAACGTGTGTGGCCTGTGTCTCGCACCAGGATGTTTGTCGACCTCAACGACCTTGAGCTTCAGACAGATTGAGGCCACGAGCGGAAAGCCAGACATCGGGACATGCACCTGTTAGAGTACAAGGTCGCTACATTCTCTTGATCTCACATAGGAGTGTGGACCTGGATTTTTACTATTCCCAGTAGAATAAATGTTTACACTAAAGTTTACACTGCTAGGGCTAGGATACTACTGTTAGAAATGCTGCGCCTATGCTCGAACTGCTAGTTCTAGTAATCATACTTGCCAAATTGAGATGTGGTGCCCACGACTGATAAAATCTTATGGGATGTTGGCAAGTCTTCAAAGCAGGGCAACAAAACTCGTGAAGGACATATCATATAGATGCACATTTGGCGAATTCAAACTTTTCCTCCTGGGTAAAGGCAAAACCTAACAAATCTCTTACGGATATGCAAGGAATCGAAACTGCATTCTGCTATTCAATCACTTCTTCTTATTCACCACAACAAATAGTCTGCCTCAAATTCTCCTCGAATTCGAAAGGCATTGTCGTAGTGAGTTGTCTCTGTCTGGAACGGATTCCCGAAGAGCGTTATAACGGTGGAGAAAACATAGGCGTTCAGCTACAAACTAGGTGTAAGATAGAGTTCGAATGGACAAATAAATATCCGGTACGCCAAACCACAACCATTGTGTAGACCAACATATAACTTTCTTATCCACTAGTTCACATGTAAAGGGCTTTACTTCCACTGCCATAGTAATGTTTTTTTTCGAAAAGACAATGCCCCCGAAAACATTAAAAGGACATGTTTATTTTGATGTGGATCATTATATACCGTTTAAATAGACTCCGTACAGGCAATACTTATTAACCTTAAATATACT